CGCGTGCAGAGCCGCTAGGTCAGCCTCATTAGCGGTATGCAATGCCGCTAGGTCAGTGTCGTGCTTGGCACGCATGATTTGTAGGTCGGCGGCGTGTTGTTGTCGCATCTGTTCGACCTGGTCGATTAATCTTCTCAACGCCGCTTCGTTATCCATGGTAGTTGAGTGGTTTGCGTCGTCTGTTGTGCGTCTACTATGGCTTCTGGTGAATACCATAAGCGTGGCCGATAAGAGCTGTCTTGATCGGCCCCACGGTGGGCGCCAAATGTTCTTACTGGAAATCTGTTGTAGAGCTGATCCGCCAGGTAAGATCGGTGAGCCTCCTTCGCTGGTACGCGTGATGCTCCAAGATGGGGGTGGTACCTGCAAAAGAGACTCCGATGCTAAAGTTAGTGTTTGTGGGAGTATGAATCTCGTATAAGTAATGCACGTACCTTAGTGTGAATTAGGGTTGCTTTGGGCCTTGGGCCTGAGATAAGATATGATAGGATTAAATGGTGGATCCCGTCCGAAGCGAGATCCCTCGAGATCGGTTATGATCTACTTAAATGCCGAGCTGACGTCGCGTAGCGCGTGCCCGACCTCATTTTCTGTTGTGATGCCGAGCTCGGAGCTCGGCTTCGCGGACATTAACTAAATTATATTTTCTTTTTACATTTTATTCATAATTTTCTATTTTTTTAAAAATTAACAATTTTGATCCACACTACTAGAAAAGTGTTATTTTTTTGTAAATTTTCTTGCAAAAAAATATTCGTAGAAAGTTTTTGCAAATTTTCCTGCAAAAAATTATTTGCAGAAATTTTTTGCGATTTTTCCTGAAAAAAATATTCGCAGAAATTTTTTACAAATTTTCCTGCAAAAAATAATTTACAAATATTTCTTACAAGTTTTGCTACAATTTTAATAATCATGGGAAAATAATTTCATGGTAAAAATTTGCAGAAAATATTGTAAGAATTTTATTTTATTTCTTGCAGATTTTCTTGCAAAAATAAATTCGCAAGTAATGTTTACTAAATGGTAGAAAAATTTTGCAAGTAACTTTCCCTGCGGATTTTCCTGCAAATTTTAATTCACAGGAAAAATAAAAAAATATATTTAAATTCATAAGTTTAATGTTTTAAAAAATATTCAAGTTCCACATCGATTGAAAATAAAACAATTAAAGAATATATAAGTTGGAGTAACACTTATCTTATAAGTTGAATTGTATGGCTGAGTGTTAGACTTATAATCTACAATCTTAGAATTTAAAAGATTATGTATGAGGCATGCAAATAAAAGATTATGAATTTTTAAAATATAGAATTTATAGTAATTTTTTTTAATTTTTTTCGTAAAAAATATTCCTGCAGAATTTCTTGTGAAAAAATTTGCAGGAAAGTTTCCTGCGAATTTTCCTGCAATTTTTTTTTGTAGGAAAATTTCCTGCAAATTTTTTTTTGCAAGAAACTTTCCTGCGAATTTTTTTCGCAAGAAATTTCGCAGGAAAATTTCCTGCGAATTTTAAAATTCGCAAAAATATATTATCCACGAACGTATTACCTGTAAATAAAATTTTGCAGAAAAATTCGCAGAAAAAATCGTATGTAATAAGAAAAATTCTAGTAGTGCCAATTTAAGAACGTGGAGATTACAAGGTCAGAGTGTCTTAGACCTCCAAATATATAGATTTTATATTTTATATATTTTAATAAATTAGTTGTATTTATTTAAATTATTAGATAATAATTTTACTTATGAAGTGTTCTAATATATATTATTATTTTTATTAATAAGGTTACATAATCTTAAGATATGATTAAAAACTGTTATCGTAAATTATTGAAGTGCAATTTTATTATTTATTTTGTAAAGCTACAAGATCATTTTACATCTAATTTAGAGTTTATCTCTCTCTCTCTCTTTTCGATTTTGAAAATAGTAGAGTTTAAATTTAATTAATGAAAATATGATATGATATATATATATATATATATAT